CCAGAATTTATGGACATGCCTACCGACATAGCGATCTCATTTAACCGCGACAGAGGGATAATAGCATGTATCTTGGCATTTGCTCATGACTTTTAACCAATATCGGTACGAATTGACCACGTCGTCTTCCTAGAGGCCTTGCCATTGTCTTCTACAACTTGCTCTTACGATAGTCATGATGACAATAAGGTTCCCAGGTAGTGCAACAAAAGGGGGCTAGGCGATTACTGAACAGAGTTTTCCGAAGACATACGCGACCACTGCGTCCACCTTCTCCCCATTAACCCCCTATGGATTGCTGTCTAGGCCTAGCGGGGAAGGGCTGCCAGAGTGGCTACCGAAGAGAACGAGTGTGGTGTACGGTTGGCTGGCTAGTAGCCCTTGTTGGATCAGGAGCCCCGCCGGATGGGCTTCAGTCCCGGCAGCGAGGAGGAGGAAGAGGACTCGGAGTAGCATGGTCGGGAGGGATTGCTCCGTCATCAAAAACACAGATGGAGAGGAGGGGAGATAGATCAACCATATGACGTTTGGTGTAAGCAGACCTTGGCCGCCGTGAGGGCGGGTGGGAACGCGACGAAGACGCGTCTACTGTAGTTTCCCGTGGAAAAAAGAACCATTCACCCACATATTTAGTGCTCTTAAACGCATGCAACTTCGCAAAGGTGTTTTATCGTACACCACGGTAAACCACCTTCGCGAAGTTGCATGCGTTTGAGGTCACTGAATATGTGGGTGGATAGTTTTTTATCTCCACCGCGCCAAAGTCAAACCCCTGACCAGGTAAAGGCTGCTACGCCAAAAATAGGTACGCGCAGCAGAGACCATGCCGCTTGCGGCTTGTGATCTTTTTTATTTAGCCGATTTGGTAGCTAAGTTCTCATTACCGTCTAAAACTATTTACTGTTGCATGGCTGAACTCTGCGCCTGTTCATTTTGCAGCTGACCTTCGCCAAATGTCAGTCGGCCACCCGTGAATGCAGCGGGTAGCCTACAAGTAGCATGCTATGCAGTTTATTTACCTTGAATCTAATGTTCGATTTGTCCATAGTGCCAGGTTTCCTACCTGTTTTGGCCAAGTCACTGTCTTCTACTTCTCGCGGCTAAATTAATTCACCATTGGGTGGTCTAACGAACGGCTTTGTGCAAGGCAATCAAATTAAACTGTTGACTGAATACTTTTCTGAATAAATCAATCACTCCGGTGGGATTAGAGTACAAACTTTTACTGAATATAGTTCCCTCACGGTTTATGCACACACAACATTTCAACCGTCGTAAACAGCGTGAAGCCGGCAGCGGTGACTTGGGCGTAAATGTTTAAATAATGACCCTGACTTGCGCTGCACTTATCTGACGATTCCTTCCCTTACCCTTTCCCCTTTTCCGCGGTGCCTTCGGCCGCTGCGTCTGACCAAGCAAACCAGCCCGTCTAAGCGTGCCACACACCCTCTACTAATCATATCTCTAAATGTGCTAAGTTTCATTCGGTAGGATGTCTCTGATCCCCCAGACGTAAGAGTGCCATAAAGGCCGCGTAAGGAGGGTACAATTGCGTCCTCACTGTAAACACTGCGAAGGATCGGGTAATCACGCCAATTGACAACCTCTTAACTTAGGACGGATTGCGTCCCAGCTTTATTATACTGAGGAGCGCGCTCATGTGTAAGGAGAATGAATTCCCCTTCTCTCTGTCTACCATGCATCAGTTGATCGTCCGAATCTGTCATCCTGCTAGTGATCGCGTTGAACATAAGGCATGACGTTTGATGCGTGTTGGATTTTCACTTGAAGCTTTCCCAGCCACCTCCGGGGGTTCCATTCGAAGGTGGAGAAGAAGAACCTATATAGAATTTTGTTCACAAATTTAAATAATATTCATTTTTAATCTGATTTTATGGCGGTCCGTACTTTCTTATTTTTGGGCGCGTAATATATCTCACTAATGTCTGCACTTATCATGTTTGTACCCCCGTTTCCGATAAAGTCATATTTCATGCTCCCGCCCCCTTTCCTTCCCGAACAGGCGCCGGTGACGCCGCGAATGACGAAGAGCCCTCTTCTTCGGTGACTCAGTCGGAGACCTCCACGGTCAAGTCAGGCAAGAAGGCCGTTAGCAAGAAGGCTGCCCTAACTGCTAAAAAGGCGGCCGCTTTGGAACAGGCTGAGGAGGCTGCCTCCATGGTCCCCCTGCAAGTGAATAAACTTCGCGAGACTCGCATGCAGGACGAGAAAAAACGCAAGGTAAGACACGCTGCACCCGCGGCTTCTCTTCGACCGCCCCCCTCCCTGCTCCTGCTGAATCAGCAGCTAGGATGAAAGTCTGATGGATAGAGCGAAGGCCGATCCTTGTGTGTGAAAGCCCAGTCAACCAGGGTATCGGCAGTCTTGATGCAATGGGCATTTCACTGCGGAGCATCTCAGTTGAGTTGGGAGAGTGGTGGATGCAATGAGTTTCGGTGTTTCACATGCTTAAGAGTGAATTTGAGTAGAACGCTGTTTAGTATCTATACAGAGGACGACTAAAAACGCTTTCTATTTATTCAAAAGGGTAGTTTTGTTAGTCTGCTTCTGTGCATCCAACTGTTGACTTGGTGACGGCATTTCAAAACCTACCCTTCGCTATGCACTCGCTATCGAATCTGCTTCAAGCAGATATACATTGCTACGAGTCGTCGCTTTGGCGTCCATTTTGCGATATCCCCACTTTTGGCTTCGCTAGCTCTATTTCGTCTATTCCTGGTGCCCAAATGGTTTTTGGAACAGTCTGAACCATATGGCCTAAAGAGGACTGCTACTTTTGGGGTTACCAGGTTCTATCGATTTGCCCGCCAAACGGTGAGAATAAAAGGGCTCACTCTTCCGTCCTTAGACTTATTCATCTTGCCCGTAACCGCCACGTGATATAAAAGAGTGTGTTCTATACCTTGAAACAGATTTCTTTAAATGGCCGTGGAAAAACCTAACGGAATCATTTTTC